TTTTTTTTCCTTTTTTTTTTGGTGGGGGGATCCGGAGCCGGGGTTGGGGGTGGCCACCCCCGGACCCCCGGACCCCCGCCGCGGCCCCGGGTCCGGGAATCGACAACTTTGCTTTACACCCCAGCACCCAAATCAACAAAATGACAAGTTTGACATCATCTACACTAGGGCAAACATCACCGAAGTATCCCAAGGTGAAGCGCAACACACCCAAGCACCGAAATCAACAAAATGACAAGTTTGACATCATCTACACTAGGGGAAACATCACCGAAGTATCCCAAGATGAAGCGCAACACACCCAAGCACTCAAATCAATAAAATGACAAGTTGGACATCATCTACAGTAGAGGAAACATCCTCGAAGTATCCGAAGGTGAAACGCAATACATACACCCACCCAAATCAGCAAAAATCGCAGTTTTGACAAGAGGAGGAGGGGGAGAAGGAGGAGAGGGAGAAAGAAAAGAAAAGGAAAAAGAAGAGGAAGAAGAAGAAGAAGAAGAAGAAGAAGAAGAAGAGGAAGAAAGAAGAAGAGGAAGAAAGAAGAAGGAGAGAAGAAGGAGACGAAGAAGAAGAATAAAAATAAGAAGAAGAAGAAGGAGGAGACCTCCCTCCTTTTTCACTCACCTCTCGCTGGTCTCTAGGCAGTAGAGTCCCAATGCTTGGTTCTAGCCTGCTGAGTATGGCTTTTCATCCCTCCCAAACTTTCCCCTCCTTCCCTCACACCTCTCCTCTAGCTCTGGCAAGCTCCTACCTCTAAGGCTGTGGAGTCCTTCCCTGTAGAAGGGCTAAGGGGACCCCTTTCAGCCTCTCCTCCTACCTCACAGCCTGACGGCTATGCTGGATCACCTCCCTTGCCTTTCTCTAGCCTCTATACCTCCTCCCTCAGCCCTATCACCATAGCAAGACTCCAGACCAGCTCAGATTCTCACTCCCTTGCTTCACTTCCACTCGGACTCTCTCCTAGACTCATTTGAGCAACATGGGCACCTCTCATGCTCAAATGAGAGTGGCGGACTGCACCTCCAGCTTATGTAGGCTGGAACAGGTGCACCGCCCAACCTCTAGGCCTCTCCAAGTGCCTCTAGGTGGGCCGAGGTACCCCCAGGGCCAAATTTCTGGTTTTGGCCTAGCCGGAGGTACCTGGGCCTCATTTCGACCAGGTACACGTAGCCCGTGAGGCTGGTACCTTCTCGGACTACCCCTTGGTCTACCCCGGCCTCTTTTTACTTCAAAAGGAGCTGCCTTTTGGGGTACCACTTCCCAAAATGCAGCCTTTACTGAATTTTGAGGGCCTTAAGGCCCATTTTTCGTCTTTTTCCTGGTCTAGGCCTCTTTTGGGTAGGCCGTTGCATTTTTCCAAGTGGCGGCTCTAATCTCAGCCTTGGATTTGGCTGAGATCCATGGTCCTCGTCATTCCGAGCTACCCCCAAGCTCCCCTTGGCCCAAATTTGAGCCTTTTACTTCAATTTTTATTTTTTTTGGTGTATCTGACCCAATCCTTGAGCCAAATACGCAGTTTTGTCTTGGTCCTCTCTTTGTTTCCCCTCCATTGTGTAGCCAACTCATTCCGGAGCTAGCCGTTTTGTGTCAGCCCACAAAAAACGACTAGATTTCCTCCTCCGCGAGATCAGATTTCAGATCTATGACCCAAAAATGAGCCGGCTAACTCACATCAACATTTTCCCTTATTTTTGCTGCTTGAATTCAGACATTCCAGAGATAATGCCCCAAGGACCTTATCTCTGCAGTCCGGACTGCCCTCCTAGGATCTAGGAGGGATGAGGTCATCATTAAGACCTGCCTGTCCCTACCGTTGCAGTCCCAACCTGGCGGCACATTTTCCTCCACCCATTCCTCCTCCTTTGTCTCATTCTCCGTTTTTTTTCTCTCCCTCTTCTTTTATTACTGTTGGGACAAATGTCCAATAACTAGTTCTCCTCTTTCTAGCTGTTGGACCTTTCCCAAGGTCCGATTTTGCAGCTGGCAGGTAGCCGTTGCACTTCGGATTGCAATGGTGGCACCCCAAGGTCCAATGAGGCTCCTTTTTGCTGCCACCGCTTCCAATTTGAGCCCCCCTTGCTCCGATTTTCTCCGGCCAACCTTTTCTCCACGTGGAGCCCTTGGAACTTCGTTTTTCTTGGCCTGGCTGATCCGGAATAACCCGGACTGCTAGCTGGCCCCTCTATTAACACTATTCCCCCCTCCTTTTTCCCTCGGCACCTCCTGTCGGCGCTTGCTGCGGCGGCACTTATTATTTTTCTTCAGACTCCTGGCCCGGATGGTTCCGTCCATCTGACATTATGTTCTCTTATTTTTATCATTGTTGCATTTGATCCAGGGTCCCCTTGGGTCGCCCCAAGTGCCTTCCGTCTTTTCTGTCTCACATCCTTCTCCTTCGTTCTGTTGTCAATTCCCGTCAGCACCCGACTTTTCCTCTTTTTCTTATTATCCCTTGTCTCTCTCCTTTTTCCGGCGTCGCCCCGGGTGACGACCCGCTGTCGTGTTCCCCCCTTGGGTCGGTCGCCCTTTATTCCGCTTACAGCTCCAATCTTCAGCCCCTGTTGGCGGCTCCCGACACTTTATCCCGTTGACACCCGGCCTGCTAGCGGTTCCGCTGGTGCCGCCATTTTATCTAGGCCCACGCGGTCCCCGATACTTCGGCCCGTACGTCTTTCCCTTGGTCTCGCGTGGTTCCTGGTACTTCGCCCTGCCGGCACCACGCCATCACTTGGTCCCACGCGGTCCCCGACACTTCGCCCTGCCGGCACCATGCCGTCCCTTGGTCCCACGCGGTCCCCATCTCTTTGTTCTGCCGGAACCGCTCCGTCCTTCGATCCCATGTGGTCCCTGGCACCTTGTCCCGCCGGCACCACACTTCTTTCTAGCCCCGTGTGGTCCTTGGCACTTTGTTCTGCCGGCACCGCACTTCTTTCCTTCCATCGTCACTCGCCTCCTATGCTACTACCGACTTCCTTACTGCCCTCCTCTGTCCTTGGGGAAGGAGTCGCTCCTGCTATTCTTTCACAGTCCTTTGCCGCTTCTTGCTTAGACAGTCCCTTTCTAGTTTGGCGGTCCTCTTTTTCTCTGGGCAGCCTCTAGCTTCCTACTGTCTGCCCCCATGCTTCCGATCTTTCCAGCATTCCTGCCTCCGGTTTTCTCTGTCGTGCACAAATTGGTCATATACAGTCTCTCGAGTGACGGGAAATCAATCGGGACTCACAAGTCCCGACACCGGCCTTGACAATGGCGTCTTCCCGTCGCCACCCAACAACTTCCCCGCCGCCCATTTCTCATAGAACTCCATGCCTTTACGGAAAACGATATCACTGGCCATCACGAGCGGCATCCATTGCCTCAATGCATTGCCAACAGCAGCGACATACTCCTTGTCGGCGAGCATTAGCGTTTTTTTTGTCAACGTCCAGTGAGCGTCGTTCGAACTCTTTCCCAAAAGCAGCTTTTGGAATTTGAAAAATGCTTGTTTTTTTACCTCCTTGCCTAAAGGGTTCTCTTTAATGGCCACCGACCTTCCTTCATTCTCCCATGTCTCCCGCATGTCCTCGAACGCGGCCTTCTGCGATCGCTGCTTAGACATCTTGTGTCCCGTGTTCTCGTTGAGACTGACCTGGACATACCCCGCGAAATCTTCGTTGGAGAAACTACACTACTATTGCCGGCCACAAGTGCATCTTCCACAAATGGAATATTGGCTCATCCACCAGCTCCTTCACAGCAGCCACGGTGTGTATTCCGTTGACAGGGTAATAGTAGTTCTTGTCCTTGTCCTCTGGCTTGAAGACGTCTTTGTGAACCTTGTCAGCTTTCTTCGGCCTACGCGTCACCGGATCGTAGATGGGTGCAAGAACCAAAGGGTTTTTCGTCAAGATCTTCCCCTTTCCCCCATGGAACTGACTTAGCATCGCAGCCTTGATATCGTCTATATTTTCGCGATTGAGACTGAGGTGGTTGTAATATCTTTCCCAAGGCGGGATGTCGCAGACCCTCCTGGGGTCGATCAGCAGTTGGACATGGAGCTCCTTCTCCACGATATCACCGTCATCGTTCCGCTCGTATTCGAGCCAGAACGTTGCCGCTTCGTCGTACTGCCCTCCGACAGCCCGTCCGCTACCGCTCGCCGCATCAGCAGTCTTCCTCCTTCGAGGTTTCTTCTGGCCATCGCCTTCTTCAACTGCCACTTTCCTTTTGGATTTCCCCAAAGGTTCTCCCGTGGCCGCAGCGCCTGGATGAGCCGAATCTCCTCCACCCATGGTCTGTCCTTCGCGGATGGTCAAACCGCTGGGCCTCCTCGCTTTCTTACTTGCCGTCGCACCCTCGTCCTTCGACGGCCTCTTTCCGACTCCATGTTCTTGTCCGCCACGCATCCCAGGCGCCCTCTTTCCCAAGACACGTTCTCCGACATCACCTCCATCCCCGCCCATCACCGCCTCTGATTGTCCTTTCATCCTCTTCATGCGGCGGGTTTCCTCCGCCACCTCCTCTCGCACCATCCTCTGTCGCTCGCGCTTCTTCTCCGAAGAAGTCGGCTCCCCATCAGAGCTTTCGCGTACAACGCTCATCCCTTCAGCCTCACTCCCTCCAACCTCTTGCCCCGATCTGCCGGATTCTCTTCCTGTCTCATCTCGAAGCGAATACGTATCGCCCTGGCAGCGGACCTTGAGGGTTTTCGGAGTTCCGGCTCGGAGAGTCCCTGCATCTGGAGAATGCAAGTCGGACGTGTTCCCAGGAGCATCCGGGCCGACCTGCGTGTGAATTCTGCGTGCGTGCCCCTTGCCCCGACCCTTAGCATCTTGAATTGCACTCCCGTGTCCCATTGGCGTCTCAAGAGTTTCTTGAGCCAAGCCGGACGACCCCTCATGGGCTGGCAGAAGCCGGAAAACATATTCTCGCGGACGAACCGGACATTCTTTCGTCACCTTCAGCGCGAGACGGAGGTATTGCACTGGCAGTGGAAGCACTTGCCATCGTAAAGCCCTTTGAAGTGAGGGCACAGCGTCATATTCGAGCCGTACCCTGCGAAACTCTTGATGACCACTATCACACCCTTAACATCTCTTAAAGGAAGTCTGCACTGGTCGTACAAGACGTTAGTCTGCAGCTTGAGCAAACCTCCAAAAATCTTGTCGAACGAGACGATGGTACCGAGAGGAAGAACGTTGTCCGCTCCCTCAGCGTCCGGAAAGCAAGTGGGTCGCATGAAAACAGCTGGCCCTAAACGGTTCCCCTGAAGAACGAAGTCCAAAAACCATTGTGCTTCCTTTGTATGGACATACGGAGTAGATTATTGAAGAGGTTGTCCCTCCTCGGGGGCAGATGACCCAGCGCTTGTGGATGTGTTCTTTGCGGATGCCATTGTACTCCCACCCGTTGACTAATACGCCCAACCTCAGACCAAATCGGATGACCGGGAGGAAAACAACGAGGTTTTCCTAACACTACAGAAGCAAAGTGCGAACTAACGCGGACTTGACGAAATGGAGGACGAAAAGGATGTAAGAGACGCGTGTTCGAAATGCACACGAAGTCACAACAATTGGGTAACGGAGAGGAAAGGCAGAACTCCTAGAATCGAGGAAGAGGTGATTTATCTTCAGGAAAGTGTGAATTAGCTCAGAGTTCTGGGAATGAAGTCGACAAGGGGTTTGAACAAGGGGGGACCGACGTGCATTTCTGGGAAGAAGGAAACCGACGAATGAGAGTGGTGTTTGAAATGCAAACGAAGTTCAAACAATTGGGTAAAGTTGAGGAAATACAACACTCCTCTGGTAGAGTTAGTTCGGAAGGAAGACAAAACCTCTTCGGAAAGATTGCGACCCGACTCGCCGCCCTCGAAACGAGTAAGATATGTTTTATCAACAAGTGCGAAGGGTATCGACAAGTGCGAACTAACTCGCAGTTCTGGAGACAAGACAACAATTGCAACCCGCAGTACTGGAAACGTGAAAGTCACGTTTGAGAAAAGGCGGCTTATCTTGGGGAAAGTGCGAACTAACTCGGAATTGTGTAAGTAAAGACTTGAAAGACGCACGGCATGGGTGTCTACAAGTGGGAACTAACTCTGAGTTCCGGAGACAGAGGTTAACAACTCCTCCAGCAGTGTTGGTAAAAAAGTGCGAACTCATTCGCAGTTCTGGAAATAAAGAACTGACTTTGATAAAATAGGTGTCCAACGTTGGGAAAACTGCGAATTGACTCTCATTTGTCACTCCTCAAGCAACGTAGGTCGCAAACTGCGAACTGACTCGCAATATATATATATATATATATATATATATATATATATATATATATATATCAGGTCGGCGGCCTCACAAGGGAGAGGTGAGCGAAAATCGGAAATTGATTCGGTGTTCAGTATAGAAACCAGGTATTGAATCGGGGTTCACCATGCGCAGTGACGACGACAAGTTGCGAAGGAAATCGAGCAGCTTTATACAAACGTTATCATGGCTCTACGTTGCATAGAGTACACGTACGTGGCCTTTCCGTACGAACCGTATAGGTAATATCTGTACGGTATCTGTACGGGAACCTGTACGGAAACCTGTACGTCTTGTATGGGCCCGTACGAAAAAGCAAAAAAAAAAATATATGTATATATATAGTCATAAAAAAAATCCGAAAAAAACATATGTGATGAAACAACACAAAACAAGCAACATTTGGCTGAGCATCATCTTCAGATTCTTGTTCGAATTTGAAAAAACAAATAAAAACCCTACCGGATTAAAAAAAAA